AATGAAAGAGGACTGGAAGAGGCTGAGGGGCACTAGATTTTACAGAACGCCTTTTATATGGAAGTCAGGCAGCGGACTTCGTGTGACCCACTGTCCTGGTTTGCCCAGACGGTGGTTTCTGGGGACATGGGGCTTTCAGTGTTAAAACCAGGACTATCCTAGACAAACGGGAAGGAAGGGTCAATCTGAGGGGCCATGGGAAAGGATTCACCTGTCACATGGCCAGGGCCAGAGGACACCTTGGACCAGCTTTTTAACATGCCTGTTAATGGTTCTAACCAAACCTTTCCTCTCTGCTCCCCCTCCTTGTCCGCAGGGGTAGGCAGGGGAGCGGAGGGCATCCTGATGCTGGCTTAGGAGCTGCCAAGAGAAAACAGGCAGAAAGAGAGCATCTGTGGTCTTTGTGGGAAGGCGGAAATCACCTCACTGTCTTTGGGATGCTGGGGCTTGTGAGGCCCTACACAGAGCCTAGGGTGTCAGGAGGGAGCTAGGAGAGCACGTGTAATACTGCCGGTCAAGGGGCACTACCCATCCTGGAGCCCTTCACCCCAACACAAACGCTGGACAGATGGACATGGGGAAAAACAGCTTTAAAACAGTTTGCCTGGGGCACCTGAGTGGCTCAGTAGTTGAGCATCTGCCTTCAGTTCAGGGTGTGATCCCAGGGTCCTGGAATCGAATACTGCAACAGGCTCCCCTCAGGGATCCTGCTTCTCCATCTGCCTAATCTCTGCCTCTCTCTGTGTGTCTCTCATAAATAAATCAATAAAAATCTTAAAAAATAAATTTGTTTGCCTGGTGTTGTGCCTACTGCTGCCAGGACCCAGAGGGCAAGCCTTCAGGGAGATCAGCTGTGAGTGGGGTCCTGGTGTGAGCCTGGGGAGCCAGCTTGATCCTTCATCTGTCCCAGCACCACCCTACGGAACCTATGGTGCCCCCCACGCTGGGGCAGACGCCTCCAGAGGGAACAGAGGTTTGACTTAAAGCTGAGGAGGCAAATACCAAGGAGACAAATCCCAAGGAGACCACTGGGCCCAGACTCCTATTTGACAGGTGGGACATCAAGTTCAAGGAGGCTGAGTCACTCGCACAGGGACACACACTCTTGCGTGGTTGGAGCCCCAGACTGGGCCTGTACCCCATCGGATGCCACAGCCAAAAATCCCTCAGAAGGGAGGAGGCTCAGAAGATGAGCCCAGCCCGAGAAAGCCCCTGCCTTCCTGGAGTCCACATACTGCTCTATGAGAGGCACATGAGTGGGAGATCCGCGGCTTCTGGAGCAAGGCTGCTCTCTCCATTCTGTCAGAGTCCACAGCCTGGTCTGCTCCAGCACGGGCTCCAGCACCAGCTCTGGCACCGGCTCCCAGTGGAAACCCTCCAGTAGGTGCCCTGGGACTGCTCTACTCCCGGGGCCTCTGGAGCAGAGCGGTGAGTCTGCAGAGGTGCTGGCCTGCTCCACCTCTCACTTGCCAGGTGCTGGAATATGTAAGAGAGATCAGTCTGCCCTCAGCAGTAGGAAGCTACGCCCCATCTGCTACCAGGAGCCCCCGTGGGGGTGGTGGCATTTAAGACAGTTTAAATAGCTGTTAAGAACCCTGGACGGGATGTCCGGGTGGTTCAGCGGTTGAGCATCTGCCTTTGCCCAGGGTGTGATCCCGGGGTCCTAGGATGGAGTCCCACATCAGGCTCCCAGCCAGGAGCCTGCTTCTCCCTCTCCCTGTGTCTCTGCCTCTCTCTCTCTCCATGTCTCTCATGAATAAATAAATAAAATCTTTAAAAAAAAAAAAAAAAGAACCCTGGGCTGCAGAAGGGGAAGTGGGTGGGGGGATGGGGCAACTGGGTGATGGGCACTGAGGAGGGCACTTAATGGGATGAGCACTGGGTCTTATATGTTGGCAAATTGAATTTAAATAAATAAATAAATTTTTAAAATTAAAAAAAAGAAAGAAAGAAAGAATGAACCCTGGGCTCCAATCAGTTAGCAGGAAGCAGAGTCCCAAGGGCAAGGCATACCCCCAGAGTGCATTCTGATGTGTCTGAGTAGAAAGGTGTTGTGTGTGTGTGTGGTGTGTGTGTGTGTGTGTGTGGGGGTATCCAAAGCAGGGATGCTGAGAGAGGCTGAATAGTGCAAGCAGGTGTAGCTGGGCTCTCTCTTGAGTAGCCAAGAGGGCCCTAAGTGCATGGCCAGGAGAAGGCAGGGCACGGAAAACAATGGAGACTGGGGAAAATCATCTCCCGACAGCTCCCGTTCCCGCTTTTAGCATTCATAGCATTTCCAGTTTTGTCCTATTATGGGTGAGCCCAGCACTTCCAAAAGTAAAATGTAGGAAAGAGCCTGAGAAATGTTTCCGAGGAACGACAAGTTTGCCCCCTTGTTCACAGCAACGCTTCTAGGAAAAGCAGGACCCCACAGAAGGTCTAATAAGGACAGAGAGCCTGTGCCCACTGTACCCTCCAGACCTTGCAAGCACGGAGAAGGAATAGACCGTGGGCATGGCAGCCAGGAACAACCTACTTGGGAGGTCTCAGGGAGCTCGCCAGCTCTGCCTAGGCAGGTGGGACACTGAATCCTTGGACAGGAGAGACAGGTTTCCTGCACAGAAATGCCCTGACTTATTCCACAATAGGCCCTTGGAGCTCCCTTAGCAATTACTGCTTTGTGCCTGGCTGGCCACTATAATTTATTGCAAATAAGTCTCATAGCTCCAATAAGGCAGTCAGCTTCTCTACCTCTGAATCCCCTATAGAGCTTAACACAGCTGGGCACCCAGCTGGTCTCCATTAAAATCCTTCTGGACCCGAATCTCCCCACCCTTTCTTGCTCCCATCTCCACTGCTGCACTCTGGCAGCTGGCCCAGGGGAACAGGGCTGCCCCCTCCACTCCCTAGCACACTTCCTCACTTTCCTAAGAGCAGAATTGGCAGGTGCTAACAAAGGAAAGGCAGGTGGGAGCCCCTGAGTCTGCAGATCACACTGGTAGCCTGGCAAAAGATACTAGGAGCTTCTGTAGGTAAACAGGAACCCGCTATTAGCAAATTCTCTAATTAGGGTTCTCTTTATCGTCCTCCTGTGGAAGATACTCATTTGTAACATTTAAGTCACACCATGAATCTCACGGAGAACTAGAAATCTGTAAGAATATTGCCTAAGAAGGATTTCTGGCAGGAGCCACTTAACTTCCCAGGTTTTGCTTACCTCACCTATAAAAAACAAGGATGGCAATGCTTCGTGTAGACAGGTGACTCAACTAGGTGGTAAAGCACCTTCCAGTGTCCACTTCTGCATAACACTGGACCATCCCGTTCACCCACGTGCAAAACAGTGATGTGGATGTAGAGTAAAAAGACCCACGGTTCACTGGCACTAGTGGCGGGTCTTGGGGAGATACTTAATCTTTCTGAACTAATCTTCTTGCCTGTAAAATGGGCACACGAATAATAATATCTTCATCTCGTAGGTATTATGAGATTGAAGTGAGATACACATGAGCAGTGTCGATAAACTGTAAAACCCAAACGTTACTGATTATCAACTGGCTATAAGGACTGTGATAAATAAAAACCTCCCTTTAAATAAGCCAATGCTTCTCGGTGACATGAGAAACACCAAAACGATCCTAGTTGATGGATTTCCTGGTAACTCTTCCCTGCTCAGGGGGATCAGCTGCCCTGAACCTGCCTCTTGGGATGGGGGCTTTCCAGAGTCAAGGAGTAAATGCTTGAGTTCAGGGCAGGGGCTGGAGTCTAAGAACACAGGGTGAGGCTATCTGCCACCCGCCAGAGCCTCTCCCATGCTGCTTCTGCAGTTTGAGAGCCAATGCCCAGCTATCACCTCCCAGGTAATAGAGTGACAGTAAATCGAGGCCCTTATGTTTTAGTGTACTTCACGCAAAGGGAGCAGATCCTTCAGGAAAGAATATTCATTTGTACTAAAAAAAAAAAATGCTGATAAACTCACAAAAAAGTTGTGTTATTGCTAAATGCTAATTGCATTTCCTTGGGTAAGCACCATAAAAAATTCATTGCAGTTTTTAGAAACAAGATGCTGGCCGCGTTTTAATTGCTAGAGAGGAGAGAGTTGGGGAGAAGCTGAACCAGGAAAATGCTAACTGGGCATAAACTCAGAAAGAAATCTCCCCAAGAAAGAAGGCCCAGTGTTGAGGTAGGAACTAAGGAGACATAGGTCTTGGGAAACCAGAACCTCTTAAGAGAACACTGACTTAATGGTTCTCAGGCCTGTAACATCAGCCCACTGGAACAGATGGGGCTTTTAGCTGCAGATTGTGACATGTAGATTTAAGAAATGTAAAGAATTAAATTAAGGAATGCCAATATTCTAGAGAGATGAGCAGGAGTCAGTTGCAGAGCTTTAAGAAACATGTATGGGAGGAAAATTATAATTGTATCCCTTAGCGTGTGTGTGTATGTGCATGTGAGAGAGATTGAGAGAGAATGAGAAAGAGGGGGTGTGTGTGGGTGTATGGGAGACAGACAGAGATAGAGAGAGAATGAGAGGTGGACCGAGACTGTACATCACTTCACTTTAATAACAGTGCTCCTTAGACCAGTTCACAGAACTGTCATTTTAAAGCCAACACCCTTACCCAGCGCCAACCAGAGTGCTCTTGCAGTGCCCCCCACCTCAGCAGGGCCAGCCAGAGCCAGGTGAGAAGAGACAGTGAGTGAGAGGACTGAAGAATGGGGAAGATCCTGTCTCCATGGGCTCGGCCCTACCTTGACCCCATCTGCCCAGAAGCCACAGGGCCAGTGGCTCCTCTAGGGAGGCACCTGAGAGCCTGAGAGCACATAGAGAGGTGGTCCCAGGGCATCCCTGAGCATCCTCCCAAAAGATGTGCACAAGAGCTGGGGAGGGAAGAGGGCAGAAGGGCAGGCACCCAGCTGCTGCCAGCAGCCTCTTCCTCTCCGACTCCATTCCCACACCCCCCAGCTCCCCCACCTGCCCAGCCCAGCTCCACCCACTCTCCTGTTACTGAGGCTCTCTGGTGAGGAACAGGGACTCGAAATCAGGCCCAGCTCCAGGGACTGGCCCGCAGCTGGTGACTGTCTGATGTGATAGGAGGTCCGTGCCTTCTGCATCTGAGGGTGCTGCTTCTCCTCCATCTAGTGAACCTGCCGGAGACCCAGGAAACATAAGGCTGCATGCAGTCAGATGGAGGAGCAGTAGGACTAGGGGAGGGAGTCCTGGGCTGACGGTGGAAGGAGCCAGACCCATGGCACAGCCCCATCACCTCCCAGCCCAGTAACATTCATTCTAGTAAGTCTAATAAGTCACTTCACCATTCGGAACCTTGATTGCTACTTGTATCAAATGCAGCTAAAAATATGTGCTTGAATGAGAAAGTGGGTGCATATGTCCCCCGTAAATTCTAAACTGTTATTACCAACTAACAGTGCCTGTGCCCAACCCTGCAAAAAAGGTGCTCTTTGTCATCACGCCCTGCATTTGTAAAGTTCTGTATATATATAAATAACACACGATCTTAGCCCTCCCGCTAAACAGAGGAAGCTGAGTGCCCTGCCCAGCGTCCCACAAGAATTAATCCCTTGCTGAACCCAAACTGTGAAATGCCGGGCTCTCTCCATAGTGCAGGAAATGCGGGCACGGGCACTCATCACCGCCTTAGAAACCAGGAGAAAACATGCACACGAAAACCACGCGGACCACTTGCTAACCACTCGCTAACCAGCGTGGCACCATGCAGCTAGCTGCTCCTGGTCTTACCTCACTCACTCATCGCAGGAGCATTCCGGGCAGCTGTGGTGCTATTACCAGGAACCTGAAGCTTGCCAGGGTTAGGGATTTGCCAAAGCTATCACAGTAAATGGCAGATCTGGGCCATGAACCCTGGTCTACTCTTACTCAGTTAATACTTAAATTGATAGAAATCCAGTGGATTCGGTGTTATAAGCATCACTTCCTCCTCCCACTCTAGGGAATATTCTCCAGCCCTGAGCAAAGCCCAGGTCTAAGAGGTGAGGGTCACAGTTTCTAAGGGTTGGGACCTTACAAACTCGCCCGCCTCACCCCCACCTCCACACTCACCCTCGCCGTGTCATGGATCCAGTCCAGGAACTCAGCAACCTTGGCGTAGACACCCGGGTGATTGGGCTCCGCACAGCCACGGCCCCAGCTGACCACCCCCACCAGGTGCCATGTGTCCCCATCTGGGCACACCAGGGGTCCCCCACTATCCCCCTGAGGCCATAGAGACACAGAGAAACAGGCCATTAGTCCTCCCTGGTAGAGGGAGCAGATCCTCTATTCCTGACCCCTCCTGCTTCCAGCTTGGGATCTCCACTTGCCTAGCCCCCCCTTAAATCCTTAGCACACAGTTTGACTTGTCCAGGCACCCCTCCTCCTAGAGAGGCTGCTCAGAGCAGGGGCCAAGCCAGAGCAGATTCCCCCATTCCTGCTCTCCACTTTGGTCTCCCTCACTGCCATACCTGGCATGCATCAGCCCTCCCGTCCATGTAGCCGGCACACAGCATGCGGGGGGTGAGTGCCCCGCTATACATGCAAGAGCTGTTGCAGAGCTGGGCGCTGAGCAGAGGCACCATGGTGTCCTGGAGCGTATCTGAGTTGTGGGCTGCGGGAGGTAGACGTGGAGATGGAGGAAGACAGAGCCAGGCCGCGGAGCACAGGGCAAGGCCAAGAAGACACAACGGCAAGAGGGAAGGTGGTTAGAGGCCCCGGAGACACAAGACCCAAAGAGGGGAGCCCAAGGTGGGAGTTGGGAAGGAAGCACGGGGCTGTCAGACCAAGTGTGAAGAGGGGGTGGAACTCACATGCACGCCCCCCCCCCCAAATGCTGAGGCCACAGCTCTCCCAGGATGGAGGGCGGCTGTGTGAAACACCTGGCTTCAGGGGAAACTCAAGGAATGTTCTCCCAGAAAGACCCAGGCAGGGGAGACGAGGTCCCCAGAGATGAAGAGGGCTGGTACTGCCGATTGGCTGGGGAATGGAGGTGGATAGCAGAGGTGCCTCACCTTGGGGCGAATGTCCCCCCCACCCTCCCACCCCTAGGTTCCCTGGGGCCCTGGGAGCTGACTCACTGTGGCTGGGGTCCGTGTGGCCCCAGCCAGACACCCAGCAATGAGAGCCCCTTGGAAAATCTTGCTTCTCAGCTGGCAGGCACACAGCACCCACTGTGTCTGTGGAGAGGCACTCAGGCTCAGCTTCCCTTCCCTACCACCTCACCCTCAGCCTGGGGGAAGAAACAGGGCTGGTGGGTGTTCCTCACTCCCTCTCAAACCACCCTGGCTCCCGGCCTCCACCAACCAGGCCCCCATGGGGCCCGGGGGGAGGGGGGGCAGGTTGCGCACTGCACCATGTTGGCAGGGAGGTCACCATTCACACAGAGGACAATGCATAAACTGCCGTGTGCATGGTACCTTCTAGGCTGGGCAAGGTACACACTGCACCCCCAACCTGGGGACTGAGAAAGAGTGGGAATTCCTTCTGGGTGCTCATGCCCAGCTTCTCCTAATGAGGATTTATTTTGGATTTTCCTTAAGGTGTCTGATCCCTCTTGAGGCATTGTTTCCAAAAGCATGTGGCAAGTCCCACAGGTCGGGCCCAGACTTGTTGTTCTTAATAGCACAGAGACGGGCCATTCAATAAACACTAATTCACATGGGAAGAAAGGATGTCCTTCTCAATGCTTTCTGTCCCTCAAACTGTACCAAGGAGAAAGATTCCATCCAGTGTCCCTCTGTGGCTCGCCCAAGGCCTGTCAACCTCCACCTAACACAGAGGGGGCCAGCCTCACAGACTCGCCCAGGCGCTGCGAGTCTGCACAGGGCACCTCGCTGGGACTGGAACACTGTCTAGTTTGCATACTGTGTTTTGTTTTGTTTTGTTTTGTTTTTAGATTTCTTATTTAATTATTCATGAGAGACACAGAGAGAGAGGAAGAGACATAGGCAGAGGAAGAAGCATGCTCCCCATAGGGAGCCCAATGCAGGATTCAATCCCAGGATCCTGGGATCACACCCTGAGTCAAAGGCAGATGCTCAACCACTGAGCCACCCAAATGCCCCTACTTTGCACTTTGTATTTTTCCGGCTGTTACTTTGCTACGAGTAAGATGGGTTCTCCTAGGTAGGTAGTAACCTAGTTCCCCTTTCAAATGTACTTAAGTCAATTTAGAAATATGAACTGCTGGGATGCCTGGGTGGCTCTGTGGTTGAGCGTCTGCCTTCAGCCCAGGGCGTGATCCTGGAGACCCGGGATTGCATCTTACATCGGGCTCCCTGCACGGAGCCTGCTTCTCCCTCTGCCTGTGTCTCTGCCTCTCTCTCTGTCTCATGGATAAATAAATAAAATCTTAAAAAAAAAAGAAAAGAAATATTAACTGCTGAGCAACAGCTCAGAGAGTACAGGTAAGTGGTGGAATCTGTGAAAGGCAGGCAGCAAGCACCATGATCTGGGAAGCCTGAGGCTATAGGTGGTGGTGGGAGGGAGGAGCATAGAGTGTATGCGAGTGTGTACCTATGTGCACGAGTGTGTACATGTGAGAGAGTGTGCGCATGTGTACTTGGGTGATGACCACATGATGTGCACACGTGTGAGTGCACGTGTGTGTTTGTTGGTGAGGGTGCATGCACGCGGGTGTGTCGGCGGGAGGGGAGGCGGTGCTCTTCCAGGGCAGTGGCCGTGGAGAAGCCAGACCCAGAGTCAGGACACCAGGCTCAGGAACTATTGGCTGCGTGATCTTACAAAGAGTCACCTTCCTTGCTAAATGTCACTGCCCTTCTCTGTTTATACCTGCCTCATCTACCTGGCAGGTCCTCTTATGAGGACCAGGGGAAAATAAAGCCTATTAACTGTAATGCACCACACGGTGGCTGGGACCTGGGGCCCGCCTGGGGACAGGGACCGAGCAGCCTGTTGGTAGAGCGACAAAGAAGCTCTGCTGGGGACTTTGAGGCAGGTCCCCTTGCAGCCCAGCTCTGTAAAGGGTCACACAAGAGCTGGTGCAAGCCTAGGTCCAGGTGATGCCAAAGCTCACTGTGGTCCCCAAATGAACTGAATGTGTTAAGGTTTATACCCCTGGGAGGGAACCTCAGAAATGAGCTAGCCTCCCTGCTCCCCCTACCCTCCCCAGGGCCTGCCCCCCTCGCCACAGCCTGCAGTTTGCTAGCTTGCTCGCCCCAGGGCCAGCGCCTCACCTGAGAAGTTGAGTGGTGTCCGGAGCCTCAGCAGAGCAATGTCGTAGTCATGATTCTGGGTGCTGTAGAGAGGGTGAGGGATGATCCTCTCCACCACAACCCCCTGGTGGGGCCTGACGGCACTGTAGCTGACCAGCCCGGCATGCACCCGCCAGCTGGACAAGCGGAATAGCCTAAAACTGCACACAGGAGTCATGCTGAGCCCGGGGAAGGACGGGGAAAGAAGAGGTTGGCCTAAGTGAGGTGGCAGGTGGGGGAAGCTGGCCAGAGAAGCCATTAGCGGATGCCCCCATCACCAAGCTGGGAGCTCCCAAAACCCGGGGACCATGACTCCCAGTGTCCCTGCAGCAGCTGGCAAGACACTGGGCACGCAGCATGTGCTTAATAAGTGTTCTAGAGCTGCCAGAGAAGTCAGATACTGTGGGTGATCTCAACTCCCACCCTCTCTGTCCTGAATAACTATCCTCCATGTTTTATAACATCAAAGGGGCTTCTGTGATAGCCTAACTGTGAGGCAGGAAAACTTCTAGGAGTCCTGTCTCTCCACTTACTACCTATGATCATGGGGAAGTCACCCCTCCTCTCCCAGCCTCGGTCTCCTCATTGTAAAATGAGGAGTGCCTTATCTGCCCTGCCTGCTGCCAAAAGAGGCCCAAAGAGATCGTTCACTCATCATTCATTCCTACGCTGCTCCAACCAGTATTTATGAGGCACTTATTATATTCCAGGACTGTTCTAGGCCATGGGGACATGGTAGTGGGAAAAATCAACAAAGAGACTCAGTGGTAAACAAGATGGAGAGTCTCTGTTCCCATGGAGCTTCCAGTCTAAAGGGGAAGAAAGGCATTAAACAAATAATTACACGGAAGGTGATTTAATTACAGCTGTGATAAACATTAAGAAGCACAGAGTGCTGTGAATGTGAGAGCGTTTGAAAAACTTCAAAACTGAGCAAATATAAAGAACCAATCTTTGTATTAATGCAATTCATGCAGAGTAAGTGGACGTTATATAGGACATACCGACGACCAAACAGAAAAGGCCCCCCAAGGCCTCTGCTCCCCAGCAGCCCCTGAGACTTGCCTGTGCATGCAGTGTGCAGCGGTCACCACCCAGCGCGGGGCCAGCACAGAGCCCCCGCACGTGTGCCGGGAGCCCAGGGCCACACTGGCCTGCCAGGGCCAGCGCCCAGGAGCCACGGCCTGCCCGCCGACTATCCGGGAGGCCAGGGGCCTCGCCCCACACTCTGCAAACCGAGAAGCAGGAAGGAGATGGTGAGCGAGGAGGGAGGTGGGTGTCAGCATGGTCCTAACTCTCCGGGAGTGTGAACAGCTCTCATTTATCACTCCTGCCCCTAAGTTTGGGGGATGGGATGGTAAAAGTGCTCATGACACATCTGTCTGCCCCATCAGGGGTGACCATGCCTGCATTGTTCATGGAGCCCCAACACCTAACAAAAAGCCTATCCCACAGGAGGGGCCAAAATGGACAGGTGGCTGGAAGAGGAGAGGTGAAGAGACGCATATATGACTGGGGGTCAGACAACAGGAGCTCCAGACTCTCCAGCGTGGCTCTGAGTTCGCCAACTTCCTTTGTCTCTTGGAGGTGTTAACCAGTTAGCAGCCAATAGTAATCCCTTTGGGGCCCTCCAGATGAAAGGGGGCAGGAGCTTCCAAAGTCATGGCAGGTAGTGCCAGGAAGTGAAGCCAGGAAATCTGCCCAGATCAGTGGCTGGTGGGGGACAGGACAGAAGCTTGGACAGGGCTCTGTTGGGGCAGACCTGTGTCTGTAAGAAGGGGACCTGCAGGCAGAGGGGCAGGTGGCCAAGGAGCTCCACCCCAGACCCAGTTGAGCCTGTCTGTGGGGCTTTCCACGCTTAGGACAGCGGGGAGACTCCTTCCTTCCACCGCCACCTTCCTGGACCCGAGATGTGACTCACCAGAGCATCTGAGGGAAACGATTAGGCCGGAAGCACAGCTGTCCCTACAAAACAGAGGTGGCAGCAGGAGGCTGGGCAAGGCCCACCTGAGGTCATGGAGGCCATGGGTAGCTGCCAGATGGAGCCTGAAGAGGCCTCTGGGGCAGCCCCCCATCTGCTTCCTGCCCCATCCACACCCCTAGTCCCCTCCCCACAACAGGTCTCCAGGTCGGCAGTGCTACTCTGCTCCATCAGCCCAGAGCACGAGCAGGAGCTTGTGGCCCTTGAGGGCTGTCTTGGGCAGGGCCCTAGGTGACAAATCGAGTATTTGTAGATAGGAAATCCAGCTGTGCTCACTGAGGGCCCCTGAATAAACATGTGTTCAGGGGATGGATAAAGGAGGAATGAAGAATAGCATGCTTCGCCCCATGCCCTTCCTGGGCTTACTCTGTTCTCTATCTCCAGCCCTTTGCCTGGCTGACACATCCTTGCCCTCCTCTTCCTCCTCCTTCCTAGCAAATCTTAATCCCTGCTGTACCAAAGCCCTCTTCCCTCTCCTACTCATCTCTGGCTCCAGCAGCCTAATGCCTTGATCCTTCTAGTGGCCCAAACCCACAGTGCTCTGGCTCTCCTGGAAGAGTCTGTCCCTACTCACGTGAACAGAGTTTGTGATTTCTGACTGGGAAATGGTCCTCTATGTCCTACTTCACACAGCCAGTGTCCTCACCACCAGGCTCCCATGACAGGAAGATTTTTGCTGAACCGTCCGCCAGGGAGTAAGGGACCTCACTCAACCTCTTCAGAAGCCCTACCTGGGCTGCCACACCTCCTCCAGGAGGCCTTCCAATCTGGGAGAGAGCCACGCAAACCCCTGGGAGCTGTTGAGCTTGATGTCAGACAGGTTCACTCCCTTGTGGTGAGTGAGTCTTGGCAGAAGAGAAGAACAGAACAGGAAGAAACTGGTTTACACTGCAGCACGGGAGATGCTAGAGTCATGACCAAGATGTGCATGAGATACAATCCATGCAGCAGTACAGTCACTGAACAAGACTTTGACAATGACCTCTTCTGGGATTTCTATTTGTTACAAAGCAGGGATGTTCAAAGAAGAGAAACTAGCTGGGGCACGATCATGCCCAGAGGCCAGGAGATGGCCAGAATGACCTCTTGCCACTTCCTGATCACTTTGATGGGGACAGGCAGGTAGAGGTCTCCAACTCTCCTTCCCCACCTCCCCACCAGCCCTCCGCCCTCCCCGACCCCAAGTGGGAGCCCTGGCCCCATTTACCTGAGATGCCCGAGGTTCTGACAGATCCTCAAACCCAGGGCGGAGCTCCAGCCCTCGTAGCAGACCAGGAGCCAGTCTGGCCGTGCCCTCACCTGCACTTCCAGCAAGTCCTCCGTGTTTATCCTGAAAGATACTAAAGGCGCAGCATGAAAGTTACATCCTGCCTGCCGCAGGATGGAGGGGCAGGGTGGGCAGGGGGAGCTGGACCTGGCCATGCTGGGACTGAAGAGGCCTCAAGACAAAGCTTCTAGGTCACCCAGTGTCAGGCTCCCTGTCTCCCATGGCATCAGGCTGGTTCTAAGAACAAAATCACCCCTATTTGTGCTGCATTCCAGGTTTTTTTTTTTTTTTTTTTTTTTTTTTTTTTAAATTTATTTATGATAGTCACAGAGAGAGAGAGAGAGAGGCAGAGACATAGGCAGAGGGAGAAGCAGGCTCCATGCACCGGGAGCCCGATGTGGGATTCGATCCCGGGTCTCCAGGATCGCGCCCTGGGCCAAAGGCAGGCGCCAAACCGCTGCGCCACCCAGGGATCCCGGTTTTTTTTTTTTTAAGATTTTATTTATTTATTCATAGGGACACAGCTAGAGAGAGAGGCAGAGACACAGGCAGAGGGAGAAGCAGGCACCATGCAGAGAGCCCGATGTGGGACTCGATCCCAGGTCTCCAGGATCACGCCCTGGGCTGCAGGCAGCGCTAAACCGCTGTGCCACCAGGGCTGCCCTCACCAAGTACTTTTTAAACTGCTCTGTCGCTCATTGTCACGGCAACCCTGTGGGGTGAGTGTGACCGTCTTCCCATCCTGCAGAGGGAAAACTAAGGCATGGAGGGTTAAGAGACCTGCCCCAGATCACAGATCTGCACGTGATGGATCCAGGACTTCGGTCCGGGTCCTCTGGTATCAAATCTTGCAGTAATACCAATGATGGTTACCACTGAGCATATGCTTTCTCCAGGTTCTATGAGAGGCTCCTTTCCACATTAGCTCGTATTATTCTTACAACTTTAAGTAGTAAATAGTCCTGTCTCCATTTTACAGGAAGGAAACGGAGGTCCCAAGAAGCAGTGTGCCCAAAGTCACACAGCTAGCGAAAGGCAGACTCCACGCTTATTCTAACTTCTATAACTGATTCCAGCCCCTGTCTGGGAAGATGATCTGATCCTCGGTGGCTCGTGTTTCGTGGGGAGAGGACAACATGAAAGGAAGGTAGGGGGGTGGGCAATGTGCAGTAGGTGAGGCCCCTGCTGCCTACACGCTTTCTCCCCACATGCACCTGTTCCCTCTTCCCATCCTGCTGGCTCACTCTGCCCCAAATGACAAGTTGCCATCCTTACTCCCCACCTGGGTTCCTGGCCTGGGGTTCTGGCCCTGCCCCATTCCCCAGGTAGTGCTGAAAACTCCACATCAGAGATGGACTTTTCAAGGCTGGACCACATCACTCCCTTCCCACCAGAAGAAAAGCCACAGATGCTGGCAGTGATGTCATGACCCTTCATTCTGATACTCTTGCCCCTGGCTGGAAGTGAAGATCCCAGAGCTGTGAAGGGGTTTGGGGCTGGGGTTAGGGGGCAGTCTGCAGGTTTGGGGGTGTGGCCTACCTGTTCTGGGGAGCGAGGGGAGCAGGGCTTCCTGACCGCTGGCCTCAGAGCAACCCAAAGGCATCTCCTCATCCTGCAAGTTCCCGGGAGTAGGCTGAGAGGTTGCTGGCCACAGATATAGCACTTCAAAGGACAAGGGTAGGAAGAGGGTCACAAAGAAGAGACTAGGAGAAGGTAGGGACTCCCACATGCAAGGGCCAAGGGATAGAACAGAACCCCTGTAACAGAGGGAGACAAAAGCAGCTGCCTGGGGACTCCTCATGAGCCACCCAACCTTAGATGGGTCCCCACGTACCACACTGAGGAGGGGCATAGCTCACTTGCTCCCTCTTGCTCTCTCTCTCTCTCTGACTGGGAAAGATTTCTAGAGAAAGTCTGTCTTGGGCCTCCCTGGGTTATCCATTCAAGTACCTTCCACTTCCCACTGTAGGACTAAAGCATTCTTTACACTAAGCCTAAATCCCTCCTGCAGCCTCTCCATCCCTTCTCCCCTGCTGTCAGCTCAGAGTAGGTGAGAAAGATGCTCTTGTCCTGTCTGCCTCTTATATCGGGTTGTATCTTCCAACAGGCATCCCCCAGACCCAGTTCCTCAGCCCTTCCCAGAGCACTGATGGGTCCCAGCACTGACCAAGAAGCCACACGCCAACACTCGCACCAGCCAGCAGTGCCAGGGCCCCCAGCCCCACATAGCAGCGCCGCCCTGAGCACCAGCACCCCAGCGGAGAGCCTGTGGGAGAGGCCAGAGGAGTCTGTGTCCCACCCCTGCCTGCCAGCCCCCCTCTGCCCTGAGGCACTACCATGGGGCCAGTTTGCCCCACTGCACCTGCCCATCACCGCCTGCCCCATCACCCCTGAAGCCCACTGAGCCCAGTCAATCCCCAAGCTGGGAACAGAACACAAGCAGGTCTGGGATAAACAATGAGGCAGCCTCTCACCATCAGTGATTTGGAGCTGTCCCAAATGTAGGAAGATTAGGGGAATGTAAGAAGATTACCCATTCACTGTCCCCACCCTGTCATTCCCCTATAGCCCAGTCTGGCCTACAGGGTTGCTGCCGGGCCTCGGGCCTCTGCAATGGGTCTCCTGGCTTTGCTTTGAAGATCCCAGGTCCTGGGGTCTCTTCTGCATACTGAGCCTCCATGTCAGCGTGGCCATCCGGCATCAGGCTCTAGGGAAATAACCGTTGGTCACTCAGCAGGATCTCCACACCAAGGGGAGAAGAAAGAAAGAGAGCTTACTTCTCATCAGGAAATCAAAAAAGGCTTCCTAGAAAAAGCAGCCTGAAACAGTCCCTCATAGGTGAAATGGGCTGGACTGGACATACATGAGCTTTGGGTATTCCAGGCAGTTGAAGAGGCAAAAGCATATGGGTAGGAAAGCATAAAGCAGAGTAAGTTATATGTTTGCCTGACGTTCATGTGCCATGAAGGGAAGAGTAATGGAAAATAAGATCTTGGAAGAAATACCAGACCAGCAGTTCAAAGCTAGATCTATGTGCACTTAACAGCTCTCCAAACTTCAATCTTCTCATTTCTAAAATAAGAGCGATAACCACTACTACCCAACAAGCAACCTCCCTCCTCTAGTATCTTATCTCCATTCACTTTCCAAGTCAGAGCAATCCTCCTATAATCTAAACATAAGCAAGCTAATCCCATCCTTAAAGTACCCAGGGAATCTTCATACTTTTTATGAAAAATCCAAAGTCCTGTGGCCTGGCCCACAAAATCCTCTGTGATCTCACCCTTCCTCGCCTCTCCATCGCCACCTGCCAGCATGGAACCCAAGGTCATACTAATACACATGCCAGTCCTCAGGGCCTTCATGAGTTCTCACGCTAGAGACTTTGCACTGGCCTTTTGCCCATGGGGCTGACTCCCACGACCCTTTAAGACCAGCTTAGATGTCACTTCTCCAAGAAGCTTTCTTCAATCTAGAAGGCACCTGTTGGGTCCCTATATTGTGCTCATTTACTTCTCTTTCTCTCTGTACTTCCTCACTGGACTAGGCTCCCAGAGCCTAGCTCAGGGCCCACCACAAAGTGGGAATTCAGTGTGTCCACTGAATGAAAAGAAGGAAGGCAGGCAGGTGGGGAGACCACAAAAGATTATATGATCAAAAGGGTTTTATAAATTACAAAGTACAATGCAAATGCTAAGTACAATAATAATATTAATAAGAAATATGTAAAAGCTATGGATCCTTTCTTTGAGGAACTTAGGACACAGTAAAATAGATAAAACCTCTTAAAAGTTAAAATGACTCCAGGGGCACCTGGGTGGCTCTTTCAGTTAAGCATCCAACTCTTGATTTTGTCTCAGGTCATGATCTCAGGGTCATGAGACTGAGCCCCACATCAGACTCTTTCTCTTAAGATTCTTTCTCTCTCCCTCGACCCCTGTCCCCACCTCCACCCACCCATGTGTATGCATATACTTTCTCTCTCTCTCTAAAAAAAAGTTAAAATGACTCCCATCTCCCCTGAAGACCACAACTTACCCTGTCAACACCTAGAGTTATACCCAGTGATCATAAAAACCTGAAACACTGACTCCAAGACAATGTTGGCTTACATGGGATTTCCATGTGTCACATGGAATGTTCTTGTCACATTCCTCAGTCCTGTTCAATTGAACTTCATGCTCCTGCCCCTCTGGCTGGGAGAAGAAAAGGACTTTGAAGACTCATCCAGGTCAGTCACTTCTAAATCACCCTGGGAACTGCTCTATTGGGACTGTGAACACACTTGCCAGTACAGCTCACAAGTAGGGCAGCAGCCCCAACTTTCATATGAAGCAAGACCCCACTCCTACCTCCCATCACCTACACCAGCTACAGCCCAGGATCTGTAGGGCTGGACCTCCCCCCAACAAAAGGGCTTGCTTCTCCACAGGAAACATGCAGTCTTGGCTTGCCCCTTACCATAGATACTCCTTGTGTCTAAAGATGAGTCTCAGGGGTACAAGCAATGAAACTGAAGAAACACAAGTGGGGGAGAGTGACTCAAGCACCCATAAGAAAGCAGAGAAGCGGCAACGGCATTTGGGATTTGGGTTTCTTCTCTGAGAATACAGTTTCTCTTGAACTGAAATCCTTCTGAGCAAAGTGGCAATGCTTGGTCTAGAGAGAATTCTAGGGCATGGCCAGGATTTCCTCCTGTCTCAGTATCAAGGGAGCTTGGCTTTCAGTTCAGCTTCTGGACTAACTAGCCTCACCCCAGGAATTGCTCTACCTCAAAACCCACATGTTTGAGCTTATGCAGTAGCCTGGAACAATGGTCAGTAATGCTGCAGGATCTCCTGGTCCTCCTTTTGAATAGCAGTTCAATGTAATTATGATTTGCGAAGCACTGTCTATGTGCAAAACACTTGGATAGGCCTACAGGAGATAAGAGAAAAGAAAAGTCTGTCCCTGGAGAAATAAAGAGAAAGTTGGCCACACAGGGCCCCCTCCAGGATCTAGCCCTTGCACCAGAGCTGCCAGAGGAGGCTCTTTCCACTTGCCTAAAGTCCCCAGGGTGGGGGGCAGGGAGAGAGAAAGAGAGAGAGAGGCCAGGTCAGGGATGCCCCAGATGCATGCACGGCCTTACCATCTGGGTCAGTGGCACCGAGGTAAGCCCTCAGGGTCTGCTAGCCAGAGTTCTGCTCCTGTTCTTGGATCAGCACTGATTAAATAGCCCAGCCAGCTTGGTTGGAGGGTGAGGTTTCCCTAGTTCACATATGGGCCCCTCCCTGTATCCTCTCCTCTACACACACACACACACACACACACACACACACACACACACACACGTGCCAGAGAGACAATCAATCTGCTCAGAAACCATGAATAGACCCCTTGTTGCAGGAGAGGGGGCCACGGGCTGGGCTGGGCAGCCTCAGCCCCTCCCATTTGCTAACTAGAAGCTTAGAAACAGAGAGAAAGGTTACAGGGAGGAGGGGAAGCCAGCTACTGTTGCTTAGCAACCAGGTCCCTTGTGCCAAACAGTGTGCCCCATGCATGCTAGCACAATTCCCCCTTCCTGCTGACAGGACTGTATCGGAGGGACGGATATAGGATTTTTGGAAATGTTTCTGAGCCCTCTGGATCACATCTCATCTCTGTGTGGGTTGGCTTTCCCAGCAGTCTGGGGTTGTCATCATATTGGAATTGGGATGATAATGAGGAATCTCTGCCATATCTGTACTCAGGGCTACACCTGTCATCCCCATGCTGGGGAGATGGGGCCTCTCCACCCAGCTTTCCTGGGGGCAGTTACTACAGGAACCCTCAGCGCCATCTTGCTTTAAAGCACAAGTGGCCCAGCTGAGCCCAGGGTAGGCCGAACACACCTGGGAACCACATCTCTTCAGGGAGTCGTCAGAACAGGGATGAAAAAGGCTTGTGTGGTTCCCCTCCTTCAATGCTTCTCAGAGATCCCTCAGCTGGACCAGTTAAGAATATAGGCTTTAGAAGTCAGGCCTTCATCTAAGTCCCATTCTGCTTCTTCCCTTCCTTAGCCTCACCTATAAAATGAGGATAATAGTACTTACCTCATAGGATTGATGTTGGATGGAAATGAATGAGATAATTGAATATAAAGCTCCCAGTCTGGCATCTAGCATAGTATCTACTCAGTAAATCTTGTCTGCTATCATTACTATTACCACTGAACCCCATCCACACAGGTTTTATTTTTGCTGTCTATTTCCCTCACATAGTCAGTCAATTCTGAGCTTATGGTAATCACACAGAGCTCCCACACTTCTAAGACAATGAAGAGACAGAGGTCAGCTATGAATCATAGGAGCAGGAGGAGAGAACTTGTCGCTGGCGCTGAGAGAAACCCCTGGTTAGGCTCTGAGATCTTTTAAAACAAAGACCCCTCAGCCTACAAATATGCATGCTTACCTTGTGTCCAGAACGAGTTTGGGCATGGCAAATGAATAAGTCACAAGCGAGGAAACTGTAAGCTGAGAGAAGACATGGGAGCAGATATAAATAACTGTTATTAATGAAAAGTGAAATAACAGAGGAATGAACACAGAGGTATAGGAAGATAAAAAAATAGCTGACTCCTTTGCCCAGAGGACATGGAAAAAAACTTCATAGTAGAGGAGGCATTTGAGCGGTGTTTTGAGAAATGAGAAGGCAATCATATAGAAGAGCATTTCAAATACACTACAGGTGATATCAGTGAAAATGCCAAAGACCTCTGAAAATTCTCTTCTCCATAAAAGCAAGGAGAAAACTGACAAAATAATTATCAGAATCAACTTTTTAAAAGTCTGGAAATTAACCAAAGGCTTACAGCAATGTGGAAATCTTGGTAAGAACAGTGAACTTTGTGGCATTTTAATTTGTTGTATTCCATCACCCTCTCTCCAGCTCTGAAGTAGTCTTAGAAACTAACATCCCATAGTCACATGGAAAACTAAGGGCAGCCCCAGTAACTCAGTGGTTTAGCACTGCCTTCAGCCCAGGGCATGATCCTGGAGACCCAGGATCGAGTCCCACGTTGGGCTCCCTGCATGGAGTCTGCTTCTCCCTCTGCCTGTGTCTCTGCCTTTCTCTCTCTGTGTCTCTCATGAATAAATAAATAAAATCTTAAAAAAAAAAAAGGAAAACCAGCACCCTGGCACCACAGGTAGAACAGGATGGAAGTTCCTTCAAAGTCTCATTTCCAGAGAGTTGGCATTATTTGAACTGTCTGGAAGATCCCTTTATGGAGACCATCTTACTTTGGACTTTGAGCTTACCCAGTATAAACAGCTTTTTCCCTAAAATTTGTTGAAGACAATCAAAGACAGTTGTTGAATTTTATGGCTGCCTAAGACAATAGATAACGGTTGGGGCAAACAATAAGCTAATCAAAAAACTTTTAAAACCAGGGGCAAAGGTGTCCACAGAGGCTTTGAAAGGCTCTGAAATATTCCAGAGAATCTAGAAAGCAGGCTCATGCACAGGAATGGCACATACTCAGGGCTGTGTACATATTTAGGAAAGACTTCGAAAAGGTCCTAGGCTCTCATCTCTGGCTAATCTTGATATTCTGAAAAAGAAAGAAGTGAAGGCTAAGGCAGAGTTGTAAGCTTTCTGGCTGAGTGTTGAAGGCATGCCCCCAACATGCCAATAGAGTCCTTCTGCAAAGAGTGAGAGACTTCTTGGTTCTAGGCATCAAAGGCAAACCTCTGTCCAATCTTTAGCTGACCACTAAGCTAACTGAGCAGAGCCGTCAGTTGCCACACAGGACAAAGAATACAGGCATTACAGAATTCATTCAGAAAAGTCACTAAACAAACAGCTAAACAATAAACACTAGGGAATGGGGAGAATCTGATTTCCAGAGTTGATGTATTATATTATTTAAAACCCAGTTTTCAACAAGAAATTGTGAGGCACACACAAAAAATAAGAAAGTATGGCCCATATACAGGGGGAGAAAATGGAATCAGTAAAAGGTTCTGGTTCAAGATACTGAATACAAGGCTCCTGAATTCACTTCTTTCGAGACACACCAAATCTATGGCTACACAGAGAGCAATTCTCTCTGAAAGAGTGACTAGCTAAGTGACTCTTACAATAGGGCTAACAAGGAAATATCCACATCATAACTGGCAGGGAAGTTTGAGACATACTCTTGCCATAAACTCTACTCATGGCACAGCAATATATAATCAGGAGGGAACTTAGAATTCTCAAGTTCTCCCTAAGTGTTTGGACCCCACATCTTGCACTCCAACTTTTAAGACTTCCATCTGAAGGACAGGCTCCCAAACACCTTGTTCTGAAAGTGAATGAAACTTGCATCCATGGTATCCACTATCAGGTCTCAGCACCTTATTCACCTTATAACTCAAATAAGTTATAACACGGTAACTATAGTCTGTAACAGTGCAATATATAATTAAAATTTGCTAAGACTATAAAACTTAAATGTTCTCACCAAAAAGTAAGTAAATAAATATGTGGGATACAGATATGATAATGAACTAGATGAGAGGAACCCTTTTACAATGCATATAAATATCAAATCATTAAGATGTACATCTTAATTTTACAACCATAATTTTGTCAGTCATTAAAAAAAAAAAAGAATGTGTTTTAGATTAAGCTAGGACTGGCCTTTTTTTAGCCATCCTTCTCTGCTTTGCTACCTAAGAAGGCTCTCTTCTCTTTCTCTCTCTACTCCTTCCTTCCCAGGTGAGCTAAGTACCCTGGCTGTTTCCTTGGTTTGAAGAGGATACCCACCTCTAAGGTAAGGTAGCAGAGGCCTACAGTACAAACTTAAAGAAGGCACTCACTAGTAAATGGAGTGTCAGTACTTGAATATCCTAAGAGTAATGTCTCCTTAAATTTTGTGCCCTAGGGTGCACTATCTGAAACCAACTGAAGCATGACCCCTCTGCATGAAGGTCCTGGGATCTCTATTTTTACCATGGTGACTCATATGTATCCTGACCCTACTCCCCTACTTTCTTCCCCCTGACAACTCGACTCCCAGAATCATGTCTACAGATAAGCTATGAATCATGAACCTTGAAAGTTTGCTTTCTCTCCTAATTCAGTCACTATTCTCAAAAACAACAAGGGCCTTTCTCACTTGTCCTTTGGACAGAACACACTCTTGTATTTCTCCTTTGTCCAAATGGAAATACCTGATTTCAAGTTATACAGAATTCTCAGAAAGTTTGTTGAAAGAATCTACCATTTATGCTGCAAGAGGTTGGAGCCCATCCAAAACCAGGTCTCCTGACAACTGGCCCGCATTTTCTCCCATTCCTATCACACAGACACACCCCAAAAGTCATATGTTCATAGAACAGGCAGGCTCAGAGAGAGTTCCACCTATGGACTACTGCTCTAGCCAGTGCCTGTGGAGTTCCATCCTGTTCATAATCTTCTCTTTCTGACTGCCTACCCCACAGATTTCAGACTTGCTTAGATAGCCCTGATAATCACTCTCTCTTTCTTTCCCAGAGAAAGAAAGTTTGGTACTCTCTGTGGAGGTTGTGAAAGCATGCGTGGGATGAGATGCAGGATCAAGATTCTGAACAGCTCTGTACATCCTTTCAGTGCAATCCCATTCCTCTCTTTAAAAGCTTCATCTCTCCCAAGAACACATATCTCACTCTCATCTAGCCTCCATCTGCTGCACAGTCCATCTGTATGTACAATATCCCCAGGTCCCCTCAAACAAGTCCCACTGCCTCCCAGTTGGGTTTAGATCATCCCACTGGGGTTAATTCAAGCCACCAGACTCTCTAATACCATCCCACAGCCTGATGAGGCCCAACTATGTATCTCGTTCCCTCCAGCCCTCTGGAGAGTGGTTTTCTCAATGAAGAAATTAATGATTCCTAAGTCTAATATAAGAGAAGCTTTAACATGTGAAAATTGGGAAAAAGCGAGATCCAGTTAACTTATTCCAGACCATTACTGTGTCTTAATAGGCAGTGAAGAAACCCTGTCTGTTGCCATTTTGCTTGCTTTGAATACAAAGAAATAGATAAAAGTGTATTTAGAATGAAAAGAATAGCTATGTGGTCTCATATGGTAATCAGTTGCTTAATCATTAGCATACTGCTTTCTGAGTACTCTCTTCTGTCTTATTCTGACCAAAATCTAAAATAGAGGATGCCTAAGTGAGTGTGGAGGGCAGCCTCTTCAGAAGGGTCCTGAAGAGCCTAGAGATGGCCCCTACTTTCCCTTCTCCCCTCAGTCCCCCTTCTATCCAGCAAGACCCCACTGGCAAGAAGTTGACTCTTCCTTGGCAAATAGAAATCTTGAATATCTAGGGGTCACCTTTGCCTGCTCCCAATTCCTGGCCTTCCATCCAGTCATTCAAATTGGAAATCTCTCAGATCTACCCCTTTTTCTTCCAGCTCCACAGCCACCACCCTAAGCATCCACCAGCATCTTTCCCAGAATTACTGCAACAGCTGCCCAAACGATCTCCTGCCTCTTGTCTATTCCATTCTAATCAGTCTGTGTCCCTTCACTCCTTTTGAGCAAATCTAGATGTTCAACTATCAATATGGAAGGATAAAATAAGTGAAATGGACTGCCTCTTCTTTTCTACTGTGCTGCCAAAGTTACATTTTCTAGAGCAAACCTAAAAATATTTTAAAAACCTTCATAGATCACCATAGCTCCCACGATAAAAGCATAGATTCATGTGCTCATTCATTCATTCAACAAGTGCTTTGCAGGTTCCTATCAAGTGCTAGGCAGTTTTCTAGATTCTGGAAGTAGATCAATGAATAAGTCAGGCATAGCCCTTGCCCTCGAGGAGCTATTTATAGGCTTTTACTGCCAAGCTGACAATAAGAATGCAATCCCTGATGGAGGAAGAACAGGGTATAAAGGGTACATCTAACTTGCACCCAGGGTATCCTTATCATGGCAGAGGGTTTTTCCCAAGTTTACCTAACATACTTTTCTAGTCTCATTGTTTTTCCTCCCCTTTAACCTCCCTCCCATTAGCCAGTCACTAGCTGTTTCCAGAATATCCCTAGAATAAACCATTGCACCTTTGTTCATGTTGTTTCCCCATTCCTGAAATGCCCTTCCTCCTTTAACTAATTAATTATTGTAGTCCATCAATCAGCCAAAATGCATTCATTGAGAATGTACTATGTGTAAGGCACTGTGCATATACTGAAGATAGCAATGTTGAGCAAAACCAGACACAATTCCTGCCCTAAAGAGCTTACTATTTCATGGGAGGAGACACACATGAATCAAAGGACCACAAAAGGTACTTATAGCTCTGAAAAAGTGCTATGAGAGAGAGTTACAAGGTACTAATGGAAGCATGTAACAGAGACGTGATTGAGTCTGAAGACTCGGGAAGGATGTCTCCAAGGAAGAGATGATTCAGATGGGATCTGGGATGGGGGGGAGACTGCTCCAGGCAAAG